ACCTTCCAAAGGTCCCACTTCTTAGCATCATCTCATTGGGGGTTAGGATTTCAACATATGAATTTGGGGAGTACAAACACATTCTACCTATAAGCGATTATTTCTTATCTCTCGCTGAAATATGCTTCCTGGAGCAGAGCTTAACCAGCTAAGAACTCTGGGTATTGTTTCTCTATTTCATGCCTATTACATACGGCTTAGGGAAACGTGACACCAACATCCTGTTTATACATTGCTTCAAATCCTTGGAAGAACAAAGCAAAAATAAATAACAAATGTTTCCATAAGATAATAAGCTTGATAAAGTATGGTTTTTTTTGTAGTAAAAATGGTAGTAAAGTTTAGTAGGAAAGGAATTTAGTATAACAGGATAAAAATGGAGAGAAATGGGAAGAAAAGGAAAAACATTTCCTGTTCCCCATGTAGGAAATGGGAGTAAAAATTCAAAATGGTGGCCCCCATCTCTTAGTCTTTAAGTATTTTTTGTTGTTATTGTTTGGCTTTCAGAGAAGTGGATTTTTTTTTAAATGTTTATATTTTATTTATATTATTGTTGTACGGGGCTACATTGTGACATTCACACAAATATATCATAGATGAATACACTCCCTCTATCATGCTCCTTTATCCCTCCTCCCCTCCTCCCCATTCCTGGAATAGTGTCAGCATGACTTATTTTTCCATTTTCAATTATTTTTAAAAGAAATTACCATTAGGAATTCTTTCATTTAGAAAGAATAGCCCATATTTTTTTTATTTATGTCTCTACCCTAAGTTTTAAATTAGAGTTTCCATATGTGCCTGTGTCTATGTCTGTCACATGACTTTAAACAATCACATCTAATTCTCCCCTTAGTTCTGGTCCTCAGAGGACCAGAGCAGAAGCAGATAACCACAATAAGATCCTCACTGGTCATGAATGATGCCTTCTGGATGGCAACATGTGAACTCAGGTTGTAAAGGCCACAGTGTGCTGGTCTTTGGCAATACACACACATTTTTGCAGCCAGATTCAGATTTTTATAGCTTCTTTTCTCCAGGTGCAGAAATTCTTCTCATTTCCAAAGTATGGCAGAAATCTGAATTTACAGCTATCTAAGTTATAGCCTTCGGTAGTAACCTTATCCTCCAATGGTCTTGAAAAAGGGAAGCAAGCATTCTGGTATTTTACTTTCTTTATGCCTGTAAGTACAATATGTGTTGATTGACTGCTTTCTTCTGCAAGGGTTACATTAAAATTTTTTTACCTCAAAAGCCCATGTAATTATATTTTCTTCAGTACTGTCTCTAAGTTGAAATTTAGTATTTTTCTTTTTTTTGTTTGTTTTCTGCCTTTCTGTACCTATCCTTATTTTGCTGAAACAAGGTAATAGGTCTATATACAAAATTTTGGAACATTATTTTTTAAGCACTCAATTTCTAATATCAAAATGTAGCTATATATTTTGTATGTATATATGTATGTATGTATAGGGGATAAAAGGCAATAGTGATATATTTTTACTTACCTTTTGCTTTTATATCTTGCCCTGAAATGACATTTGGCCTTTATAGAGACATTAACCAAGCTCATTTTCAACTTGTGTCTAGCAAAGACACAATTAGTGTCTCAAGAGCAATTCAAGGTATCTTGTTGAGGACCAATGTCTACAATTTTAGCAAAAATGCCTATTTTGTGGGTTGCACTAGTTCTCTTTCTAGCCTATGGGTATATTATTGCTTACAGCATACTCTTTATTGTATTTTTTGCCTGCTCAACATATACCAGGCTCTTTTAAAAATTACATTCTATAAATTGGGTACCTGTTCTTACTAGAGTATTTATTATATAGATGTTTTATAGGCCTCCTGAGACCTATTGACTCTCTTCATTATTTTCCCATATTCTTTTAGATTATGGATTGCTTTAGAGTCTTGTCTGATTTTAAATTATCAACCCTTTGTACTGGGTGAATTCTACTACTTTTCCAAAAGTTATTTGCCTTTTGCAGCACTGAAACTATACCTTCCTTATATCTTGAGAGTCTCTTGTCTGTTTTTTCTAGTCATAGTTAATTCTCTGATTTGCACTCAGTATCTAAAAGTTCATTATTGGCTTAGGACTCATAGATCAAACTCTGATTTCTCCCCATTGTTAAGACTTGAGAATATGCTTTAAAACTAATTTCTCTTATTCTGATTGGGTTATATTAATAATTGAACTACAACATGGTTGTATAGGGCAAGCAGGACGTGTTTTCAGAATTCTGTCTTTAGAATGCAATTCTTGCTCCACCATGTATAAAACATGTGATCTTGGACACTTAATACTTTTATGCCTTGATTCTTCATCTATAATAGAGGACAATACTCTTATGGTATGAATTGTAACTCCCCTACTAATTCAAATGTCGAAATCATAATCCCTCAGCATATGACTTTATTTGGAAGTAGGGCAGTTGTAGATATAATTAATTAAGATGAGGTCAGTCACCCTGGAGAAGGGTAGATTCCTAATCCAATGAGTGGGACTAAATCCCTTTTCTATTGCTATAACAGAATACCATAGTCTGGCAAAATTATAAACACTGGAAATCTATTTGGCTTATGGTTCTTAAGACTGGGAAGTCCAAGAGCATGGTGCCAGCATCTACAGAGGGCTTTTGTGCTGCATCATAGCAAGGCAGCAATGGGGGAAAAGGCAAGACAGATAAAGAAAAATCAGGCAAAATTATGTTTCTTTTTTTTAAATCAGGGAACTATTCCTGAAATAACCCACTCCCACAATAATGGCATAAATCCATTTATGAGGTCAAGACCCTTACGACCCATCCACTTCTAAAGATCCCCCCTCCTAGTATTATTACAATGACAATTAAATTTCAACATGAGTTTTGGGGATGACATTCAAACCACAACAAGTGGTATCCTTATAAAAGGGGAAATTTGGACCCAGGCAGTTGCACACAGAGAAAACACTATGTGAACATGAAGACAGATCTCTAAGCCAAAGAATGCCAAAGATTGATTTGACGTTCTGTAAACCAGCAGAAGTAGGTGAGAGGCAGGAACAGGTTCCCTCTCACTGCACTTAGATGGACCAGCTCTGCAGACATCTTGGTCTTGGACTTGTAACTTCCAGAGCTGGAGAGAATAAGTGTCTATTGTTTAAGCCACCCAGTGGGTGGTGCTTTGTTACAGCTCTTGAGCTACCAAATCACATTGTCGTGAGGGTTCAATAGGTCATAATAGGTAAAGAGTTTAGAATAGTGTTTCACATAAAATGAGCACCAATAATATTAATCTATTAATGTTAATTATGTGCTAGGTGCTTTCCTAAATGCTTGTTTTTTTTATTAGCTTTATGTACAGAGAATATCATTTCAGAGGTATAGTAGTCCCTACATACTTGTAAAATATGAATTCATTCTTCTTCCTTAACTTCTTGTCCCAAGTTAAAATAAAAATAGTACTGGCCATATAGTCACAGCAATAGTAACCACTTACTAAACATTCCTTAAAGGAAAGGGACTGTGTTAGGTGATTTATAAATATTACCGTCTCCATCTTCCCACTGACGTGCTGGTGTCCGCTGTTGATGTTTGTAGTCCTTTCTCTGGTCATCAGGTCATGATCTGTGTTCTTCTCATCTCAAATCTCATCCCTCCTCCCAACACCTCTGCCCTCACCTTGGGATAAGGAAACTGCTTTCCCTATACCTGCTGGGGTAAGCGGGAGCCTGTCAGACTCTATTCAGATCTTTTCCCTTTGTTGTGGTTATCGATTCCTGCTTAAGAGATCATCCCAGCACTTAGTGACTTGAGCCATCAGTGATCGTTTCATTTCATTTCTCATGGTTTCTCACTGCCTTTCTTACAATTTTTGGGCAGTTCTGGCTCAGGGTCTCTCAGTACAATTGCACTTCAGTGGTGGTGGGTATTGGAGTAGATGTGGTCTGGGCAGTTATTGTGCTCTTTTCTTGACGTCTCAGTGTTTCTCTGTGTGGTCTCTCTGCCTGGATTGGTTTGGGCTTCTGATTAACATGGCTGCCTTGAGACAGTAGGACTTCTTATATGGTGATATGAAGTAACAAAGCCTGGGACATAGCAGGAAAGAAAAGCAGGCGTCCTTGAACTCGTAAACTTGCAGTCTAGGCTAGAAAGAGTTATCTCTAGGCAGAACTCTGTTGCAGAATCAGGGCCATGCATGAGGAGCTTGTTTGTGCTGGTGATAATTTAAAATGTGTATTTGAAGAGGACTTTAACAGCTTCTTTGAGAAAATAAAAATGACACTCTGTGCATTATGACATTTTTACATTTTCTATTGCTGGCATAACACCAAGAATTCAAGTGAGAGGGTTACAAAATGAGTAGGAAAACGGGTGTTCCTGATGAGACAAACCTGAAAACCCATTTTGGAGATTTCCTTTTCTGACATTAATAAATGCACACATGCTGAAGGCCTCAAATATTCCCAAACCAATCTGAAATCCACAACATGAGCTTTAACATGGTCAGTTGGCAAAGAGGTTTTCAATTCTGTTTGGAGAGAGATATATAAATCTTTGGTCACTTCATCAAAAATGCCAGTGCATATGTCATCAAGATTAGATTGGGAGCAGGAGGATCATGGGTCAAATCCATCTTGGGCAAAAGTTAGCATGACACTATCTTAAAAACAAGCTAGGCATGGTGGCACATGCCTGTGGTCCTAGCTACTCTGGAGGTGGGAAGATCATTGTATAAGGCTGGCCTGAGCAAAGCATGAGATTCTGAAAAACAAACTAAAAGCAAAGGGCTAGTGGCATGGCCCAAGTGGTACAGTGCTTGCCTAGAAACTTTGAGGTTTTGAGTTCAACTGAGTTCAAACCCCAGTTCTGGAGGAAAAAAAAAAGATTAATTTAGATATATAGCAGCAAACCGTGTGAAGAACTCCATTCCATTATAAAGAAAGTGCCAGTCAGAATGGTTAATTGAAACAGAACAATCAGTATCAAATTCCACGTTCAACTGTCTTGCAGGTCCTTCATTCCTTTACTGATGCCATCTTTGATGAGTGGATGAAAAGAAATAATCCTCCTGCAGATTCCTGGCCTCAGGAGCTGGCACCCATCGGTCACAATAGAATGTACAACATGGTTCCTTTCTTCCCTCCGGTGACTAACGAGGAACTCTTCTTAACCGCAGACCAACTTGGCTACAGTTATGCCATTGATCTGCCAGGTAACCAACACAGCTTCTAAATGGGTGACTCACTGGTCTCATTCAAGCTTTAGAAGTAAGCTTCTAAAGGATCTTACTTCTTTTCTTTTTTATGTAAACCAAGACCTTTAATTGAAGCATTCAGGTCTAGTTAAGTTTATTGGCTATTTTTTAGAATATATATATTTAATAAAATGAGCCATTAAACTACCAATTAAACATCAGAAAGGGACCGGTTGGCAGACTCTTGTCTTAGAAAACTGCAAGTTTTTAAGACACTTTATCCCACAGAGGACTATGGTGAGATACTCCTTTCCTGATTTGACAATTGTATCTGAATTAACAGTGTTCATGGGAAACTGCTCTATGGGTATTGAAATGTATAACTGATAAAGTAGAAATGAATGAGTCCCATATGGAAGAAACTAGCAGGCCTTAGAGATCCTTATCTGAAGGCAGGGCTGGAATTATGGTGAGATAAATATAGGATGCCCCTCTAGCACAAAACTCAAAGGGAGCCCCAAAATCTCAGTAATTGTGGTAAGTAATAATATAAGGCAATATTTTAAAAGATGAAATGGATGTTAAAAACTTCACAAAGAAGTTTTACATCATCACACTTTTGAATACAGACAGATTGTTGTTGTTTTACACCCTTACATTACTTTGTAACTGAATCAGTCATCTTCAATCAGCCTACATGGTACCACCCTTGCATGGGTAGGTTTACGAGGGTTGACAATGGCCCGCCAACAGACTGGGCTCCTTGGGGCTTTGTGTGTATGTTTTTAAATTAACGTTTTCTAAGTCATGTTTTAAAGTTGCCCATCTTTTATTAACTCTTCCCACTTTATTTAAAATAGGGGAGGATATTTTGATCAGTGTATGTAAGGGGGCACATGTTTTTCTTTTTTGTTCAAGCCCCAATATAGCTTCCCATGCCATTTGAAAAATCTTAGGGCAGTTTGAGAAAGAAAAGGTAAAACAAAAAAATATCAAGGAGCTGAATAATACACAGTCAGTCTGCTGGTGGGTTTTCCTCTTTGAGTCTGTGACATCGTCCCTAATCTCATTCTACAAAGTAAGCAGCATGATTTGTGACTTCCTTCCCTCTTTCCATAACCTCAGAGTCTTCACGCACTGGTCTCCGACCCCTGTTTTTCCTTCTAGCTGTGTTTCTGTTACTTCTAGTTTTTCTTTCTGCTTTGAAGTTTCCTTTCTTTGGGTTAGCTGAGGATATCTTTCTTAAACTTCTTTCTCTTTGCTCTGGGATTAAACATCATAATATTAAAGAATTTGGAATGTCATCCTGACCTGATTTCCTGTCTTTGGTTACAATCAAATAATGGTGTAGCTAATATGCCCATAGTAAGTTAATTCATAAGGAGTTAACTCATTAGACGGTACAAATTCATGGTTACCATTGGTTTGATCATGAAGTTTACAATCTTACCTGGGGAGATGTAACTGTAAACACTAAGGAAGGGGAAATTTTTTTCTCTCTAGCTCTTAGGTTCATTGACTGGTGCCCAGTAAAGTAGATTGACAAAAGAAAGATGAAGAGGAGAAAAGGCATACAAATTTAATTTGACATTATATTTTATGTGACATGGGAGCCTTTCTAGAAGATAATGAAGTCCCAAAGAAGCAGATAGGCCTGGGAGTTTATATGACACTTTAAAAAAGAACAAGAAATTGAGGAGATGTGATAAAACAAAGAAAAAAGAGTTTGAGCTTTCTAGAAATGGAGCTATATAGAGAAAAGTAATGGAGACAAAAAAGGATATTTTAGCAAGGCTTGCCCTGGTCCAGCTCAGTGCTGGCTTCATATTCTTCGTAGCCATAAACTTTTCCCAGGGGAGGGGATTTACAGTGGTTCTTATCTCTCAGTAGTTTCTGCTTTCAGTCAGGTAAGGGAGTTCTGGGAGGCTTCTTTTGGCATTTGCTGGACCTCAGATCACTTTAGCTCAAAATAGTTCTTCTGCTCACAGACATATTTTGGAGAGGCTTATTCTGATCCCCTTCAAACTGAAGGTGGGAGAGGAATGGAGGGCTTGGGAATGTTTCTTGAAGGAGATGGGTCTTGAACTAGACTTGAAGAGACTGGTATGTGTCAGATAGGTAAAAAGTATTTTAGACTGAAGATGAAAGAGACAGAACAGGGATGGAGCAAGGAAGAGTACATGTGGTCTGGTTGAGGGCTAGGAAAGGAAAGTGTGTTTGGGCTCAGAAGATGACTTTTTCAAAATGTGACATGTCGGCAGGCTGAATGTTTTGAACTAAGGGAGAACCATGTCTCTCTGACCCTCTTCTGCCCCTCCCTGCCATCTCTCACCCCTCTTTCCCTGGCAAAGAGCAGGAAGGGGCTTTCATTAAAGGTTCCTCTTTCTCACTGAAGGCCACACACATCCTCCAGGAGATTAACTCACAGGAACAGACTGGAGCTGACACCACTTTTAGAGCCCACATGAACTTTGCCCAAGACTATTATCTGTTCTTTGATCCTGCTAATCTTCTCTAAAAATCATTTGTTCTTTTCCTAAAATTGACTACACCCCTGAGTTTTCTCTTTCCTATATGGAAGGTATTTAAGCTTCAACCAGATGGTCCTTCTTTGTGTTTCATACTTTGTGTGACTCCCAGGCACTTTTATGTTAATAAATTGGTATGCTTTTTCTCCTGTTAATCTGCCTATTGTCAGTTGGTTTGTTTTATAGACTCAAATTATTGAACCTTCGGAGATTGGAAAGAATATCCCTTTGCTTCTACACCTGGTTTTAGTGAAAGGCCCCGGCAGGGGATTGCTATGAATTTATGTCTGATCTGTAAGAGGTCTTATCACCTAGGCTCTTAAAAGCTAGGCAGATACCCCAGTAAGATGCTACCTCACACCCATTGAGGTGGATACTGTCAAAAAAGAAGAAAATAACAAATGTCAGGGGAGTAGAGAAATTGGAGGACTTGTGCATTGTGGGTAGGACTAGGACAGCACAACCTCCATGGAATTTCTCAAAACAATTAAATAATTTTAATATCACATCGAAGAAATGGCAGAACAAAACTCCGAGCTTTAAGCTGATGAGACTGGCAATAGGCACTGCTGGATCTTATCAGGAGGCAACAGATTCAAATCCTCTCAGAGGAATCCAGTCAGGATGGGCCATGGCCCTCAGTGGGATTGAAGGAAAGAACAGGAAAGATAATCCTGTATTTAGATGAATGTAGGGTATTGAGCCAGAAACTGATTCAAAGGGATGGAACAACTGGTCAAGGAAATGATAGTTTTTAAAGAAATGTCAACTAGGCATAAATATATTAAAATGAAATTCAATAGAGAAAGATAGACTGTCAATAATATCGAAATATATGACATCTGTGAAGGTGGAAGAGACAATGATATGTATTGCAAACTGTTGAATAATGGGGGGTGGGAGGGATGGAGTAAGGGAGAGTAATGAAAGGGGTTGAATGGACCAAAGTAAGTATACTCAAAGTGGTTGAGAAACCACCTTGAGCATTGACTTAGGAATTAATAATTAATTATTATTATTATATTAATATTATAATTAATATTAATTTATTAATATTATTATTATCATTAATAATAAAATAATAATGAAAGACAGGACTGTAAATAGATACAGTGTGGGGAGGGGTACTTGTGGAAGTGGGGAGGATGACTGGAGGAGATAAAAATGAGGGAAGATGGTTGATGAACTTCATATATTTATACGGAATAGAACAATGAAACCTCTTGCAATTGCTTTAAGTGGGGTGAGAAGGGGGTCAAAAAGGAGAGATGGTGGGGGCAATCAAACCAATATACAATATAAGCTTATTTGGAATTTTTACAATGACTCCTCCCTATACAACAAAAATATCCTAATAAAAAATTGAAAAAAATGAAATTCATTAGTTTTGAGAGAGAGTACTATAAAATACATGTAAGTAGAGGATTGGACTTTATCCCGTGGGAGATTCAGATTGTATTCAGAACTATTTAAGTGGGTACAATTACTGAATGTCTGCTGTTAGAAGAGCCAATCTGATCTTTCTCCCACATTTATCACCAACAAAAAAGGGAGAGACATTAGCAGAATTTCCTACCAAGGATCGAATATTTAGCAATTCTCCAGTTATCATTTTAGCATGCAGTTTTGCAAATGAGTTTCTAACTTACAAAAGTAATTATATACTTCCTTGGAGGATTTATTCTGTACATAAGCATTTATTGTATAAATTTTTTTAAAAATGCATTAAACTGTATTTAAATAATGGGATGTCATTTCAACCTCCTCAAAAAATCTATTGTGGAAATGATAAACTGTGAGGGAAAGAGAAGATAAAATCGTATTCTAGCAATGGTAGTTTTGCTTTATTAACAAAATGCATGTGAAAGGCAAATAAGTTTAGTTTTTTCTTTTCTGAGTGTGTTTACCTGATGAAAATCCTGATTGTAGCACCTTCTCTTTTGTTTTAATTTCAGTTGAAGAAACTCCAGGTTGGACCACAACACTTTCAATAGTTATGGGAACACTGGTGGCTTTGGTTGGTCTTTTTGTGCTGCTGGTTTTCTTTCAATACAGAAGGCTTCGCAAAGGATATACACCCCTAATGGAGACACATTTAAACAACAAAAGATACTCAGATGACGCCTAGTGTACTCATGTCTTGCCCTGGAGAAAAGGCCAGCTAAGCCATGGTTCTGACCTGGAGAATAGTCAAACTACTTCTCACAGTTCTTCCTGTAGTTAAATATCTTTGGCATAGCTTTGCCTGCTTGTGATGATGATCTCAAATTCAGAAGATGCTTAGCTGTAGTTTCTGGTTTGCTTGTTTGCTTAACAAACTCAACCTAAAGTGTTTGGGGCTATCTCTATCCTCAAAGTAAGATAAAGCTGATAATTTTTGGTATCTAAGAATAACTTACCATAGTGATGAAGTCTTTTCCCCATTCTGAAAGCACAAGAATAATCAACTGACTGTATCCATTTAAATTTGCAGGTCAGTGTAGATTGAGACTACGTGTTTTAATCTTTCTAAGCCCAAATATTTTTGTTCATAATGGGGAAGTGGGGTGTGTGTTTTAGTCAGCTGGTCATCACTATACTAAAATACCTGAGGCAGGCTAACTTTTTAAAGAAGAGAGGTTTATTTTGTCTTCCTGTAGGTGCAAGGTAAGGAGCTGCATCTGATGATGGCTGTCTTGTTGATAAAGTCCCAAGGTGGTACAAAGCATCAGGTGGCAAGAGTTAGGGAGAGCATATGTGTATATGTGTTGTCTGGTCTCTCTCTACCTCTTCTTATAAAACCTCCAGTATCCAGTCATGGGGGCTTTATCCTAATGAGCTTATCTAACCCTATCACTTTCCAAGGGCTCCACCTCTATACATCATAGTTAAATTATGTTTCTTTCCTCTTAATACCTCATGATAAGGATTAAATATCAACACATTAATCTTTGAGGGCCACTGAAACCATATCCAAACCATAGCAGAGTGTCAGGCACTAGGTGACTTTTAGCTATGAACTCAGCTTCCTCATTTTCTTTGGGCCTCTTTTTCTTCTTTTCTCTGACTTTTCCTCTCTAGCCTTAAAGGTAAAAATAGGCCTTATTTTCCATATAGGATGAAGAATGAATAAACGATCAATCCAGAGCTCTTTTATGAGTTAGAATTTATAGAATTTATTAAAAATTTGAAGTTCTTTACAGTAGACTATTAGAAGACTTAATAGCTGGATAAAAATTGATCTTACAGTGATAAACACATAAAGGAATAAAATTATAGAGTTTCCTAATAAATTAACATTGTTCTAAACCTATTCTCAAGGATGTAATCACTCTTTCCAAGGAAAGTTGACTGGAGAAGGCTGGTTAGGCTACAATCCTGAACATGAGATGATTTGATCACGAAATAGGATAGATAGATGAGATGGCAGGGAAATCAAAAATATTAAAGACCAGATTCAGGAGTTAGAACCAGGAAATGAAGCCTAAAATAGCAAGCTTTCTCTCACCACCTCCCTTCTCCTTTTAGATGTTAAGTTATAATCTCCTTGAATAGTCGTAAAGGGCAGGTCTGCCTTCTCCAGATGTTAAGAAGCTGCAAACTCTTTAAATAGGTAGAGACAGAAGATGTGTGGGAAATGGAAGTCTCCATGTTTGGGTAATAGACCTACTCTAAACCCATTGTCTCAAAGCTTGGAAATTTAGCAAAATGATTAGGGGTTTCTCTGTAATATGACTGCATGCCTAGATAAGAATTCAGGATGGAGTCCCCAGATAAATACTGACAAGAACCACCATTTTGAGTCTTCTTTGCTTCCATCTCCTGCAGGTGAAGCAGGAGTTGTTTTTGCTTCCTTTTCCTATTTTTCATACTTTACCTTGTTTTACTAATATAAATCCTTGCTCAATCACCTTGTGAGACTCCTTTTTTGTGAGACCCCTCAAAATGCTTCCATGGTGGATCTCAAGTGCCTGCGAGTTGTGTGGAATTTGGGAAGTATCCTCTCATGCTTTTCCTTCTTCCTATAACAATTAGAGTCTCATTACTCTGAGGCCTCATTTGGTTGATCCTGAACCAATTCCTGTACTTGGTAGCTTCATATGAAAAACTATTCCCTATAACGCATTTGGCTTACTTTAAGAGTTGGCTTTAAACTCATTAATGTTGCGCTGTACAGATAGTTACTTATGCATGGTAATCAACTAATCTTATCATTTGAAAGCAAACCATATCTTCAAAATACGACAACTTGGAATTAAATAGTTATGTTCTGGTAAGTATCAGATCATGAGAAATAAGAATGAGATGACCTTTACTATAATGTTTAGACTTATCATGATGGTCCCCTCTTCTGAAAAGTTAAAAGTTATTGAGATTTAAAGGCAAATTTCACCTGCCTGTATCCAACATCTGTGCATCAGGAGTGAGGTTGAACTTCTAGAGGGGAGCTCCTGTGTCTATTTGCTTCTGTCCCTCCTTGCTGGAATGGATGTGGGAAAAGAATGGTGTTCAGAGGACTCTGGAGCTGCCTTCTCTCTATGGGGGTCCAGGAGGGTGAACAATTTTCCAAGAGCCAATATTATTTCTTGGAATGGCCTGCTAAACCCAGAAAAATGGACAATGCTCAGTTGGAACTGAATTCAAGTTCAAGTCTCATAAATTACAGGTGTGCCTGAGAGTAAGTTCAGCAACAAAAGCCAAGATAATCCAGTTTCCTCCATGCAGTGAAGCCCACCTGGGCATTTTAGCCATAGATCTCAATTCCCGCCATTAATAGTATTTTGGAAAAGGCAGGCATGTATCATTCACATGATCCTCTCTGAAGGTTTATGCTCTGATCTCAGGAGACAAGTTTTTACATCCTGTTCGTAAAAGAAAACAGGTATATATTAAAATGAAGATATAATTGTGCATAGCAGCTATGCTCCTGAGAAGTTATATATGAATCAATTATATGTTAAACCAGCAGAGGAAATAACTTTTTTATAGGTAAACTATTATGAATAATTCTATAAAGCAAATAACCACCTTTAGCTTATCTTTCAGTATTTCAGAATTTTCATACATGATATTCTCATAAGATTTGGTTAAAGCAAGATCTGAGGTAGATGCGATAGTAATTATTTATACTTAGCTATTTTTATCTATAGTCTGTGTAACTTTTTATAAATATTATGTTTTATAATGCCTTCCTAACAGAAATAGTTTTCTAATTTCATAGTTCATATAAGCAGAATAAAATTCTCTAGCATTTTGTAACCTTATAATAAATCAATTAAGGGTGCCTTTTTAACAACTCCAAGGTGGGATAAAGTTACAGAATAAAAAGTTGATATTTATTTACATTAAATGGTATGCAAATAAACTCAAGAAAATGTCACTGAGTATTGCAGGGCTATACTTCCCAATGATAGGGAAAAAATTCAACCCTAAAGAAAATGAACAGACCACTTTATATGCTTATATCCTCAGTATTAGAAAAACTATGTATATGAATTATGTCCTCAATAGAAATGCTTTTTAAAAATAAACTGACATTATTCAGAAGTAAAGTAAAATCTAGCAAGTTCTTTCGTTTGTGAGTTCAAGTCTCTTTTAAATTCAAAATTCAACACTAATTTGTATCTTGCTTGGCATTTAACATTGTTAATTGTAATCCTTCTAATGAATAATTTTCATCTTACATTAACAGGCAATAGAAAACTTATTAAAAAGTAAAGTAATAAATATTTCACTGATTATTGTTCATCTTTGGGGGATCATTGTTTTTTAATTTGTGTACATTATTTTCCACTTTTTGGGCACTCAGCTTACATATACTGGGATACATATATATTTAAAATATACAATAACTACTTCACTTCTGAAAATTAGTTCATAGACATTCTACTTCTTCATAGGGTTTCTAAGCAATTGCTGCTTCCTGGATCTCCACTGTACAGGCAGAAAGGGAAAGCAAAGCCTTTCTCCAAGTGAAGAGTTTCTTTTGATATCCTCATGGTATAATGACTGATCTTAGGGTGGGGTGGCCTCTTTAAGTTACTGACAGGGAGGAGGGATACATAGGAGTTAACATGCTGATCCTCTAGGTAAGCCTTCAAGGTCAAGGATCCTTAAGGATCTCCCAGACCCTTTATGGTCAGCTAACCTGTTGGAGACTTCCAGAACGAAGTTAGAGCCAATGAAGTGCAGTGTGCAGTGTTCGCTTTCACATCTAGACTTGAAGCTAGAGGTCAGGTGATACATCCACTACTTCACCTTAGGTACTCAGAAAATATTGGTGGTTAATTGATATGAATGCATAAAAGATAAAAACAAAAAGCAAAAAAAAAATATTAAAAAAACCAAAAAAGTAAAGGCATAAAAAAATCTGGGTTCCCCCCAGTGGAAGGCACCTGCATTCTTCAATGGAATAGTAAAACCCGAGGTTGAAATCTTCTTATTTCTACAGTGCCTGAGTACTCTATAAATATTTTTGAATGAATGAAGGAATGAAGGAATGAATAAACCAATCTCAAAGTAGAACTTCCATTCAGGGCCTCTAATGTGTTTTGCATGTACTGGGTAAAGCACACTAGGGAATCTTATATCCCTTTCATGAAATTAACAACAACCCATCCTTCAGATTTTGAATTGTACCTGTTGGGTGAATTTTACTCCATGCAACCTAACACACTTCAGCCATATTTTCTTTTTGTATTAATCTTCCCACCAATGGCAAGCCTTAATTCCTGCATTGATAGGGGCTAGGATAAAAAATCTAGACTTCCACCTCTCTTTTACTTAAGTCCTCACACATGTCATTTTAGGGTCCTCCATGGTTTGATAGCCTAGCCTTGTTCAGTGGAGGGAGGTTTGAAGGCAAATTATTTACTCTTGCAAACCAGTGCCTCTCTCATGCTGATGGACCCAGGCAGCATCGCTTTGGAAAACTCTTCAAAGATGACTTAGGACAGTTGTGCCTGGGTATTTGTGGGGAATTAGTTCCAGGACCCTCTCCCCTCAGCCTCTCCTCAGCTCTTAGGATAGCCAAATCCAAGCATGATCAAATACCTTACATAAAATGAGCGTTTGCATATAAACTACTCACATTCTCCTGTAGATTTTCAATTTTCTCTAGGTTATTGATAATACCTAACCCAATGTAAA